TTGTCCAGAAAATTTTTTTATTTCACAAATCGAATGTGCAAGTGAAAAATAAGAAGTCTGCAAAAAATCAAAATTTTACTCTCACGTTTAATGTCTTAAAAACAATTACAAAATAAATTTATCAATAAAACTTTGTTATTTACTTAAATCATTGGAAGAAAGTAGAAATCGTGGGTGCGCGAGTGGAACTCACACTTGGCCAATTTTTTTTCCTGCACGTGTTGTTTCAACTTTTATAAGGATTTATCTTTATATCGGTTCACATTACGTCGTTCGTGACCTTTTGCATTTACATCGGTAGACACAGACATATCATCTATGTATGTATGTATGTATGTGTGTATAAGAATGTTCATAGTATGTTCCTTTAAACGTGAAGAAATTTTATATTGCCTAAAGCCCAAAGGACGAGAAACGGCAGCGTTCACTTTCTCGTACGTCGATCCTATATCCTATATAAATAGTTACGGCTGCTACTACGGAAACGAAGACGGCTTATGAAGGAAAGCGTGGAAATTGTAGTTCTTGGCCGCCTGCCACCGCGCAAGCATACAGCTGTGCTGTCACGTTAAATTTTCTTCGGCCCGTGGCACAGAAAAGAAAATACAACATAAAACCAACAGGGGAAAACCGCCCCAGCCTTCGTCAGATGGTCGATGAATGAATTTTGTCGGAAGTTTCTTGTAAGTGACATGATATGACACGAAAATGTAGCATTGCAGAATTACTGTTTTTTTCTCTCACTTAAGGATTCTATTTATCTACTACATTCGTATATGTAACACAGACAGGTAGCTTCATTAAAAACATTATGTGTTAAATATAAAAGATTCACTTACATTTAGCTATTCTATATCTACATATGAATTTTACAAACTAAATATTTTTATTCTTTTCGCTTTTCTGCTATTTTTCTCTTTCGTAATATTTCTTCTCTCATCCTTTTCTTCCATTTGAATTGCCCACTTTTTTTGTACCATTTCCAGCTTTTCTACATCTTTCAAAAATGTGTTCGAGCGTCTCAAGTTGTAGTCTACACAGCCTGCATATTTTCCTCACTTCTTCCCAATTCTTGCTGTCCTATTTTCATTTCCCAGTCTAAATCTTTTCACTTTTTGCTCTTTCATCTTTCAAGTAATTTGGTTTTCTTTACATATTTTCTTTTGTTAAACTTTCCAGCTCTTTCTATACACTTCTATCTTCTTCCAGTTTTCATTCATCCTCTCAACTAAAAAATTTTTTCTTTCCTTTGTGATTTTCTTTCTCTCGGTTTGAAATTCGATTCTTAACTTTTATACATTCTTTTAATGACATATTATCTTCTAAATTTAACAGTTTTCCTTCATACTTTAAAGAACTTGTCGAATATTTTATAGCCAATCTTTTGGTTTTTGTTTCTTTTTGTAATAGGTATTTTGGTGTATTTCTACCTATTTTTAAAATCTATCTCATGTACATCTCCTGAATGCTTTCAATCCTTTTTCTTTCTCCCTACCCTCAAATTTCCGCTCCGTACAATAATATACTCTCAATGTCCCGAATAGGTACATTATTTTTTCCCTTACTTTTACTCAGTTGGATGCTATTTAATTGTTGTCACAGTAGTGGAAATAAAATGAGAATTGGATAAGTAATACAAAAAATTTAATAAGAGGGAGTTATTTGGTATAAATTTTAGGGTCTTCAATCACCATATCGCTTTGGCCCTTATATAATTTGCTTTTATTCAACACTGAACTTTAAATGGTATGAAATAAAAATTTAAATTAAAAATTTTTGTAAACTCCGACATAAAAATGCCAATGTCAAATGAACAAAAATTAATGGATTATGTATTTTGATTAGATTTAAAACATTTGATCGTTTAAATATTGATTGTTAAAGTACATTAACTTACTCCAACTACAATATTTAAACATACAAATGAATAATGATTTA